TGTTGTTGATGATGATAAATGACTGTTTTTTTGTAGGGATACAAGGGCTCTGATACTCAAGTTTCAGAAGAGAAGAGAGGTGCAAGTCCAGCGCAAGATGATCGAGATACGAAAAAAATAAAATTAGAATCTGAGTCCCAAGCGGAGCAGCCTAGTTTCGTAGTTCCCATTATCACACAGTTAAAAGCCCCACTCACGAGAGAACAGCTTAGGGTATATTTTACAAATTTCTTTTTATTTATAGTTTGTTTGGTGGTACAACTTTAATCAGGATCCAAGACTAATGAAAATTGGGGTTTCAGTATTTGGCTGGAGATTTGGACAAGGAGGACGACGGCACCAAATTCTATGGGGAAAGCTTTGTCTATGACACCTCTTGTCCTCGTGATATGACAGTAAATATCTTCTCTTCTTCTGGTTATTAAAAATAATATAAAGGGACAAATTTAAACATTTCATGCTTAGACGAACCCTTGTTTGGAAATCGCTAATTTTCATTTTGTGAAACTAATTGATTAGAGTGCAGAGCAAGCATTGATAGAGGCGGGATACGAAAAGGGCTCTGATGCTTATATGGCTCCATATAAAACGGTAAACTAAGATGCATCTTTGGTCAATTATTATATTTTTTATGACATTTTTGTTTTACATTTTGCACTAAACCCCACTTTTTATGTGTTGACATTGCAGCTTCTGTTTTTGCAACTTTGGTATGTGAATTATAGAGGGACAATATTGAAATCCCTGAGAAAGTGCATGTTGAAGCTCTGTTGAATGAAGATGGCGACTTCACACTGGCCGATGTTTGTGCTTGTGGGTAAAGAAAATTCAGTTATCATTTGTTCGGGGTTTGGGGGAAGAAATTAGGATCTAGTGGTAGTGTTTTTGTTGTGTTTCTTTCGCGTTTGTAGGTGGGTGATGCATTTCTCTTTTTGTTTTGCTGTAGTTGGTCGGTAATGGTACCCTAACCCTTTTGTGATTATGGTGCTGATGTGAGAATTCATGATGCTACGTTTAACAACCTTTTGCTTTAGGTACTCCTTGGTTATATCAATTTATGATGGTGTTGTGTGGATTTGTGTTGCAATGTCTAACAATTGTGAAACTTGGGATTTGAATCTGTGTGAAAGAATGCCAGGCATTGACTTGTGGATACATTTTTTGTTTTCTTGTTTGTTTGTACACTTTTATGGTGTAGTATTATAAAGATGAGCAATATGCATTACAAACTCATCACAATGAATGCACAACTATTTGATGGTAATCATAATAGAAGTAATGTGTTGCATTGAATGATGCAGAATTACGTGATGCCGTAAATACGAAACGTCGTTTAATTGCTTTCTTCAATTTGAAGGATAGATTTCATATTGTCTTGATTGGGTGTAGCTTTTGCATTTCTGAATGAAACCGTGATTGTGGTCTGGAAAGTGGAAACTAGTGTCTGAAGGACCAAAGCGTTTACGTTGTTTCTTCTTTATTGTTAACGTGGCGAATGCATCTGTTATTTATGTTCATTATCACGAGATTATTGGTCTTACTCTTTAATAAGGAAAACAGACATGGGGTATTAATGTTCTGCAAGCTCATTCTTATGACTTAGTTGTCTTCTGTGTTCTGCTCGTTTTTTTTTTTTTTTTTT